TTGGTCAGTAAAGAAAACCTTCTTTCTTCAGCACTAAGATGTGTTTCTCCAATTAAAATGGAAATTGTCAAAAGAAAGGGGAATCAACTTGCACCCTAAAGAAAGAATGAATGAATGAATGAATGAATGAATGAATGAATGAATAAATAAATAAATAAATAAATAAATAAATAAATAAATAAATAAATAAATAAATAAATTCAGTCTAGGATAATAATAATGCCACACTATTTGGGCTTTGATAAGACTTCACCTAGAATACCGTGTACAGTTACGGCCCTGTTCAAAAAAGGAGACGGACGAGCCAGACTGTGTCCAGAGGAGGGCAAGCAAAATCGTAAGGGGCTAGAAATCAAGCCCCATGAGAAATGGTTGTGGTAGTTGGGTATGATATGCCTGGATAAGACTGAGAAGAATGGCTGTCATGTGGCTAAACTGATGTGCATATCAGAACACTATTAGCCTTTGGAGTCTGCACCTAGCTGAATTTCATGTGGCCGATGGAGCAAACTTGTTTTGTGTGACTTCAGAGGAGAGGACCGTAGCCAATGGGTTCAAATCAGAAGAAAGGAGATATTCACTAAACACCAAGAAAACCTTTCTGAGGGCACAAACTGCTTGATAATAGAATGGAGGTTGGACCAGGTAATTTTGAGATCCCTTGTAGTTCTACAATTCTATGGTTATTTCCACCAGTCCTCCTATTTTACCCAATTGCTTCTACTAACCTTTGTCTAGGGTCTTGTTTAGACTGGCAAACATTCATTGTAGTATGTTTTATTCATAACTGAATTGTGGCGCATTCACTGCGTCCTTACTGCAAAATGTATTGGGATAGCTAAAGACAAGGTTAAAAATAAAAAATAATGCCAGAGCAAACCCTCAAGAGACTCAGGAGCTGATTATGTGAAAGGCAGTTCTCAGCGTTCGTTTCTACTTCTGATTTGTTTGCACTTTCAAGAGCTGAATCCAAGTTTCAAGAGGGGAGCGGAGCAGAGCATTAAGTACTTTGCTCCCACTTTCTGAGGATGATGCTTGGCTGGCCCTTGCCCTGGACTATTGTGCACCACTCAGGTGAAGTCCTATTCAATCATGCTTTCAAGCCTGTAGGCCTACATGCGTTGAAGCAAACACATTAGCTCACCTCCCTCATTTACCTCTTTAATACAAGAAATACTGAAAAGGAGGAGGGTGCTATACCTGAGTAACTTCTCCATCTGAACCAGAACCCTGATTCCCACCCCACCAAGTTTGGGCTCATTTGGAAAGTCTAGCTAGATATGGCAATTTCCCATTTGCAGACATGTGCATTTTTGTGAGTAAATTGATAGTGGAAGAGGGGGCCAGGATGCTCCTCTCAACATGTATCGGTACCACATGTTTTAAAACGTGATTGGATACAGCTTGACTGTCTGACTATTATAGGCTGGCTGCATTTGTGCAGGATTCTGGGTCAAGCTAGGCATTAGAAAGGTGGGGATGCAAGAAGAAGAAGTCATGTCCCCAGAATTATGGAGTGATGTAACGACCAGGCTCTTTTGCTTGAAGTGTGTTCCAGAATGGGAAGTCCAACATTATAGAGTCTGCTGAAGGTGGGATGTTTCAGCTTACACCCTGAGCGATGTAGGCCTGGAGCTGGAGCTCCGAGAAATTGGGTTCAATGCAAAGCAACTTTTGTCCTTTCACATGGCCTAAGTTTGATTGGTCTTTAAAATAGTGTGCATTGGGCACCATGTTAAAATGCAATAGGGCTTCAGCCAGGCAAGAGAACCCTTCTTTCTATGCAAGGGTTGCTTGCCTGCCCTCTTGCAGTAGCAGAGGACTGCCTTTTCACGGTGTATCACAGGGGTGTGTGTGTGTGTGCAGGAAGTCGACCTCCTTGTCTGTGGGGTCACCCTAGGAGACCAGGTGAAAGAAAAGTAGCAGCAGCAGCAAATTATCTTTTTCAGCCAGCGTTGTGCCTGCCACTGTGGCTACTGCCAACGTGCTCCCTGGCCACTGCCTCCCAGCTGTGTATCTGACAAGCAAGCCCTGGGGGGGGGGAGGGAAGAAGGGAAGCAGGATCCTTGCCTGCTCTTTGTGTGGCAGAAATGGAGCTGCTGAAACTGACACCCCAGGCAAGAATAATGTCGCTGGGTAACCAGTGTTGGGAGGCTCCCCAGTTACCTTGCCACGGGCTGGCTAGCATTTGTCTTCATTTTCACCGCATGAAAAGATAATGTGTGATAGGGGGCTTTTCACTCTGATTTGCAGATAACCTGAAGTAAAAAGCTTACTGCTGGTTATCTGCAACGTGTAGTTCCAGCCTGTTAGACAGAGAGCTGGCAGTCGCTCAGCAGTCCCTGTCCCCTCCCTTTATGGCAAAGAGCACAGCTCTTTTTTGACTAGGTACGGAGACATACGGAAATTTATTTATTTATTTATTTATTTATTTATTTATTTATTTATTTATTTATTTATTTATTTATTTATTTATTTATTCATTCATTCATTCATTCATTCATTCATTCATTTATATTTATTTATACCCCGCCTATCTGGTCATTTTGACCACTTTAGGTGGCTTACAACACACACACATGCACACACACAAAATACAAGAACAATATATAAATAAAAAGGAATTTGTACACAATTAAAAAATTCTATAAGATGGGAAAATAACTCATAATAAAGAAGGCAAGTGAGAAGGTCAGGGATTAACTGGGGGGGGGGAAGGCCTCCCTAAACATCCATGTTTTCAGTTGTTTCTTAAAAATACCCAGTGAGGGAGCCATGCGAATCTCCGGAGGCAGATTGTTCCAGAGGCGAGGAGCCACCGCTGAGAAGGCCCGGTTTCTTGTTTTTTCCTTCCGGGCCTCCCTCGGCATCAGGCTCCTCAGCCTCACCTCCTGACTCGCACGGGTGACACGGGTAGAACTGGAAATGTAGCCAGCCCTCTATTAGAAATGTTTGGGATAAAATTTAGTACACATGCTAGGTAAGAAACAATCCATTGCAGGCAAATAAGAGTATTACCCAGTAACTGGAGGACTTTTTGTAATTGATAATATTCAGCCTAAAGTACAGAAACCTTGAGTCAAATCCAAATCACCAAAGCTTTGCCAAGAAATAAGCTGGCAGCAAAAGCCCCTGTGATTAGAAAATGAAACACACCTTTTTGATTCCCTAAACCCTTGAGATGTACATCTATAGACCAGAGAATACTGGGAGTACTGAATTAAATGGATGATGGAAATAGACTCTTCCCTTGATTCGGGAATATTGGGAATTCTAAAAATTCAGTTCCTAGTTGCAGATCTGTGTTTAGTGCTTTAAAAAAGAGAAAAGAGCATGTGTTGCATAACGGTGTGCCTACAAATTTCAGATTGCTTCTCTTGTCCTCTAATTCCTGCTGCTTTTTAAATGAAAGTCTGCTTCAAAGGAGTCTGTAGGAGTGGAATGAGGAAGATAAGTTAGACGAGTGCGTTAACTAAAGCACATACACACAAACTAACAAAACCACACATGTATTGTGGAGTAGAACCCATTCTCCATCCTCTGCCTTCATTGTGAGACCTTCCAGGCATTGCCAGAAAAGAGAAATTAAAAGGCAATTAGCGGAAGAACAGGGGCGGGCTTGGTCTCAGATCATCCTACTGTAGGAGTTGATGTATGAGCCAGGTAAAAAAGAAGTGAGAAGGGAAGGAACAGATCGGAAGTGCTGGATTTCTAACAAGGATGAGACTAGGCCATGAAGTCATCACAGGCTGGATTCAGCTAAACAGGATCACTCGAAAGTGTGGTCTGACATTTAGAATGATCCTTGGATCCACATGCAAGGATCAGGTGGTTCCAGGACCAGTTATATAATTATTGATAACTGACACATCACTTCACTGCCTTGCCACCCAAGGGGCGTAGCACTGAACTGCCTACCAGCACTGCTTGGGTTCATTATCAGTGATCAGACGTGCCAGAAACTGAGCTAAAACGGCACGATCCTGGCATTAGAAATGCAGCGGCCTCTGCCAGTGATCCAACAAGGTGTGGAGAGGTGTGGAAAAAGGATTGATCTGGCTTGCAATTGCTGGTACATTCTGAAGTCACCAGAAAACAGATCAACCTGAATGTGCTAAAAGTGCTCCAAAATAGAGTGCCACCAGATCACATTCTCAGGCCTTCTGATGCCAAGTTCTCCAAGTACAACTCTTTGGATAAGTTTTATATGCTTGAAATTCAGTTTTTTTTTTAAAAAAAGAACTCATTCCAGGTTCTCTTCCTCCTCCTTCCTCTTCCTTGCTGCTGCTAAAACCGATTAACCTCCCTAGGGCCATTTTTAAGGGAAAGGCAAGGTAAAAAACAGGTAAGGCCTGAATAAAATGCAGTGCTTGGAAGAGTCATTTTTTTGTTTGTTTATTTGGAAGAGCATGTGTGCTACAATTGCCAGATTCTTCTGGCCACGATGATTTAAACCAAAGAACCTTCTCAAGCTTTGATAAAATATGTTTGGTGGCATCTCCTTGTAACACATTAATGGATGGCTGAGCATAACCCACTGTATGTCCTTCAGACCTGCCCTTAATGTAGAATCGGTGTATCAGATTTTCAGAGACATCATGTCGAGAAATCTCAGTGTGAACGTTTAAAGCAATGGCAGCTGGTTGTATTTCTTAGGCCTAAACTCCCACTGAGTCGGTAGGAAGTACCGCTGAATTGAGTGGGACCCATTTGATGTAAGGTTGCAGAGGACGGCACACCGAAGGCTGTTATTCACAATGGGAATTGTGGGGTTATTCACAATGGGAATTATACTCTGATTTGATATTAGAGGATTATTCAAACAAATATGAAAGTAAGCTTTCACTCTAATATGTTTTTTTTTGTGACCATCCCTAACTGTTTTTGTAGCCTGCCATCTCTGCCTGCATCTCTGCTGCTTTCTGCTACACCCTTGTGGAATGCCTTCCTCTTCCTTCCTCTTTCATTATCTCTTTTTGTTTGTTTGTGTGCGACTGCAGTGATGGGTGCTCTGGAGTCCAGAGGGGTGCTGAGGAAAATGAGTGATATGCTGGAGATGATGGTGAAGAGGATGGATGTACTAGCCAGGCTGGAGAATAGGACCGACTTCCGGAAAGGGGAAGAGGCCCATTTTCCTCTGGACAGGTCAGTACCGGTAGCTCTGGGATGTTGAGCATGCAAAATGGGATTTACAACTTCCTTCTCAATGTCAGTGAGGGTGGGCAAGGAGTTTCCTGACATCACAGTATAATTCCCTCATCGATAGAAGATGTTTTGCTCAAAAATTCAATGTTTGGGGGCAGAAGATTGCTCATTTTTGCACAGAATGGCATGCAAAACTGGGATGGCTGTCGCTTTGTTTAAGATTTGTGAGCACTGGATGTGTTGTTTGCATCTTCTGTAACAATCAGCCTGTCCTTCTGTTCTTTGCTCTATATGTGTGTGCTTTGTCTTTCAAAGGGAAAATAAACTAGAGATGTGTTCTGCAAATTATAGAGGCTTTGTTGGGTGTGGAGAGCTACTTTGACTTGTTCTCATTTGTAAGTGAGGAATCTCATGGGGCCTGATAATTCATTGTTAAATTTAAGAGTGCCTGAATTGAAAAACAACAACAAAGAATTCAGCATCTCAGACTTTTACCGTATTTGTTTTATTTATAGGCTGCCTTTCTCACAATAAGGGGATGCAAGGTGGCTCACAATATTAAAATGAACAGAATTAAAAAAAACATAGCAATTTAAATATTTAAAAAACAATTAAATTATATCTGATTAAAATGCAACTGAATAATTAAAAGTAAGTAAACATTAAACACTATCTTTAAAAAGGCATTGGGGGACCCAGTCATGATTGCTAAAGGCTGCCTGAAAAGATGGGTCTTCAGCTGTCAGGAGAAGGATGAAAAAGAGGGGGCCAGCCTGATCTCCCGAGGGAGAGCTTTCCATAATTTGGGAGCTGCCACAGAGAAGGCCCTCCTTTGTGTCCCCATCAATTGTGCCTGTGCTGGCAATGTATTAATTATGCAGTATCCTCTTCCCCTGAAATGAGTAAATTTCTTAGAAAGTTCAGTTTTGTGTAGAGCTGAGATGGGAATCCCTGGCCCTCTAAACGTTTTGACATGAAGCTCCCATTACAGTGGGGTCTTGACTTGAGAATTTAATCCGTATTGGAAGGCGGTTCTCAAGTCAAAAAGTCTGTAAGTCAAGTCTCCATTGACCCACAGTGCGTTGAAAACCGATTAATCCCGTAACAGGCCGTTTTTGTTCCATTTTGGTTTTTTTCTGGTCTGTAAGTCAATTCTCAGGCTGCAAGTCAAACCTAAATTTTGCGGCCAGAGAAGTCTGTAACTCAAAAAGTCTGTAAGTCAAGCCGTCTGTAAGTCAAGGGTTCACTGTAGTCCCATCTAGATGACCAATCACAAGAGAATCAAGAGAGTTGTGGTCCAAAACACTTAAAATGCGAAAGATTCCTTCTCATTTTATTCCGGGATAGACTAATGTGACAGCTGCTTCATCCCTTTCCTGAATGCATTGGTTCTGGCCAGAATCTGCACACAAGGGGTGTGTGTAGAAAGCACATGGTGGAATGAGGACAGCAGTTGAAAGCCTTGGATGGGTTCCTCTGAATCTAACCTGGGTTCATCAGGTTGCCCTGTGGGTTGCGATTCAAGAATGGGGTGTTATCCTTGAAAAAGAAGCCCCGGAAGATGGAAGTTGCCAGGCTTCTCACGTATCTAATCTTCCTGTTTAGCGGGCACACTTTCAGTTCTGTTCATTGCTAAAGGAATGAGAAGGGCAAACACAAGAACAAGAGGCACAGAGGGGAGCTGCAAAATCTGTACCGTTTCTCACTGCATCATTACCATCGCTATAAAATGAATTTCTTTAGGCTGAGACTATCTGGCCGTTGTAGATATTCACTAAGGCTTGGTTGCACGTGGTAGATTTTTTGCAGTGTAATGGATCAGAAGCTACTGAGCTTCAACCCTAAGCATAAATGTTATGAACATCTGTACTTTTCCTGCTATCCAAATGATGTCAAGTTTGATCAAGTATCTTCAATAACTTTCAATGATAGCTTTTTTTCTGCCTCCCTGCCTCCCTCCTTCCCTTCCTTGTCCATTCTGTTCTGGAGCTCTGTTCTAAGGGACAGAAAGGCTGATTACATGGGAGTTTAGACTGCTGTTTGGTCTGTTGCAGGAACAGGCTGCTGGTTTGCTCTTGAAGTTGGCGATCAGATGACATCTTTGTTGGAGAGAACCAGCCCACCCACAGAATGGTCCTATCCATATCTATCTGACTCCCTGTCAGGGGCTTCTCCTTTTTTTTGTGGTGCTGGTAGGATCACTCTGGTTATGAGAAGTTTCAGTACGTGTGATCACTGGAACCACTCCAAAAGAAGCCTTGTGGCTTGAATTTGACAATATAGTGAAGTGGGCATTTAGCTGCAGGCAGTTTCTCAGCTGGTCCTTTAAGATGAGGCAAAGATGGGCTGCAGGAGCAATGTCTGTGTTGGCCATCAAGCATGATTAAATTGCTGTAATCAAGCCAGATCATTCCAAAACAGGCCACACAAGCTTTTTTTCCCTGCCTCTTATATGGCTGCACCAAAAATTTAGTGCTATGGCACTTTCAGTGGGAAGTTCATTCCTGCACTAGAGACTCCCAGTTAGAAGCTTTTAATCATCTCACAGATTATTGTGAGACACGCCCAAGGGGTGCAGGCTCCAAATGGTTTTGATATAAATTATTGGAAACCAAGGATTAATCCGTAAACTTTTCCACGGAAAGCAGGGCTGACCAAGTTGACAGATCAAAGGAGGTTTAAGCCAAAGGGGACCAGATACCCACCTTTCTGAAATGGTGATGCAGTAGACAACCAGCTTCACGCCTCCTTTTGTTCAAAGTACTTCCCCAGGGCTGAATGAGAGCTCCAAGCATTTCACACCTAGCCTCCCCATTTCAAAGAACTTCCTGTGGGATATGTGTTGCGGCATTCACAAATAGAAGAAAGGCTTCCAAAAGTTTAAAGGAAAGGACTTGAACAGAGACAAAGAGAGGACTCTCACCGGCATACACTGGCTAAGAAACCTGGAGAAAGGATGGAATGAAGCCATAGCAAAAGTTAAGTCTGTTCTCCATATGGAGAGGGATGGAGCAGAACAGGCTAAGAGCCAGCTCCAAAACCAAAGGGACTGAGGATCAAGGAAGCTTTAGACCGTCAATGGGAAAGGCTTTTGACAGGTAGTTTTATTGTTTTGAAAACCCAGCATTTGTAGTCTGATGCATTGCCTGTATGCCGATCTCATATTCTTATTATTTAGTTGTGTTTGCAACCTCACCACTCATTTCTGTTTTTGTCTCCTACCTTTTACTTCCTTTTAATAAAACTTTTGTTTTAGTTAGACTTCCTGTCTGGCTGATGTTTTTGCAGAAAAACCCAGGTTAAACTAAATCAACTAGCCTATTCAGGATCAACCACAACTATCTTGTAGATGCCAGAGCATGTGCAGAGTGCAAAAAATTCCTAACTCGATTCCCAGTGGATGGTGGCAGCCTAATAGAAAGAAAAGCAAGAGTGATACGAGGCCTCTGGAGCCCAGTCCTGGAGTTAAGCTCGGGGACCGGCCCCATTTCACCACACAAATATTTAATTTTTTAAAAAAATTAAGTGGCTCCAAAAGCAAATATACAGCAGAAAAGTGGATTGCTAAACATTTTAACGACACCTCTTTTTCTGCATACAGTTTGTGTCTGCTCTTCTCCCTTTGCTCTAGAGCAAGTTCAGCTAAACTCAAAAGCCTTTTCTGTTGACTGAAATCAAATAGTTAAAAGAAGTTTAGTTTAGTAGGGTAGCAGACATTAAACAGTCACACTTGCCTGCATGCAGCCAGGCTCCCATGCTCAGTAATTGCCCCTAACTGGCTCTAGCAATCCCACTTTCTTGTAGTATGGATAGAAACCCTGGTCGTAGGCCCCACATTTATATATTTTATTTATCTGTTTAAAATATTTTTATCTCACCTTTCTCTCATTCTCAGGGCCAACCACAAACAAAACAGCAAAAAGGGAAGGGTAGAAGTTTGTTATCTTGTTCACCCAGCCCGGAAATAAAGAGACAACACAGGTTGTTGGGTTAAATTTGGGCCACAGTTTTATTAACTATTTAAACTGAAACCTGGATCAACAAGGGGGCCTACCGTAGTGTGATCTGTCTGGAAATTCGGTGTATTCTTTACCTCCGGATTCAAAAGTAGGGCGAGTTCCTATTTCTGAATCATGCTGTGTTCTAACCAGCACGTGCTCAGGTGCCCCTTGATAGGGGTATCTTCAGTGCCACAGCCCTCTGAGCCTCGTGACCCTAGGTGAACTGCAGCCTGTGAGATCCCCTTAATAAAGGTCCAGCTCCCGTTGGAGCCCTGTTGTCTACCAAAAAGTGGGATATGATGTTTTGCACCATGTGACCTACAGTACCAGGAACGCCCCAAAATCTCATCCCCTCATACGACCTGCCATGACATGGGGCTATTTATATGCCCCAAGCCCGCCAAAACCTTTGGCCCCAAGCCCCCTTGTAGATCGTGTAAGAAAAGGTCTAAACCTGCATTGGATAAGTGGACCCCGTCACTCCTATACAGATCGGTGTGACAGACTTTTTTGTTGGAGTGTCTCAAGACTGACCCCAGCCCAGACAACATAGCTCTGGACACCTCTCGGTTAACACCACGCTGTGCCCGGTTAATGCACCTCGGGTCACATTTCGCCCGCCATACAGCCTTGGTATAATGTTTGACCAAACCAACTTCACTGCTGGAAATTTGGCCTTTATAACTTGGAAACCATTGATCACCTGCAAAATAAGTGACTTGCCTGTTCTTTGAGCCTAGTCATTTCCACCCAGGTGAACAACTATTACATCCAGAGGTACCCTCAGAGTTCCATGAACTTGACCCAGAGCATACCTCTCCAGCCCCTCCATTCCAATGTGGTCTGTGTGCCCAGGACTAAATTAGAGCCACAAGCGGACTGCAAAGCGTACTTCTCCACCCAATATATGTAACTGTGGCCATACAAAAGCCACTCTCAACCGGGCCTCTGCCAACTGGAAGCCTGAAAGAGAAAACAAAAAACCAGCATCTATTGCGG